GCAATAATGGAAAACGAACCGATTATATCTTTCAAAGACGTAGCACATATCCCAAGTTTTTGGACGATGTTTATCTACTTGGTCCTAGTATCAATCTGTTTGTACCTACTGCACAAGAAGATTGGCTTCAGAGGGTGCAAAACCAATGGACCATCCGAACCAAGTCAAGATATCGAGATGTCTAGGGTTCAACTTCCTCGCTGACCCTCCTACGTTGAATCTTCGGGGGGAGGAATTATATCGCCCGTTCCCATGTGAACCGCTGACCATGCTGAAGCAGAATCTCGCGATTCTGGGAAACTGATGTGCAAGCATTCTTATCTTCATGGGAAGAATACTTTTGTAATTCAGTTATAATTTTGCTCTCATACTGTTAACATCAATTTCTGTTAATAAAATAAATTTTTAAAAAAGGACTTTGACATCCGAAAGTTATATTTCGTGTTTCTTCAAACTCTATAACATTGCACATTGCCCCAGTATCTTACTGGAAAAATTACTCTATAGTTTTCTAAAGTCATCAGTGATATTCTCTCTGAATGAATTGATTGAACTTCGCCTTTTATTTTCAATATTTAATTTTTAGGTAAAAATTTTTTATTGGAGAATGACTTTTTTCGCAGCTTTCAGTATGGTCGCTTTCATTATCGGAAACTTCTTGGATTCGTTTAACATCATTTTTGCATGTCGCTTCATTTGCTGGAAAGTTCTTGTTTCCCTCATGTTTATAGCTACAGTGGCCACAGTAGCCACGAGTGACCAAACAGCCCGAAACCGGTCTGCAAGTGTGTTCCAATAATTGAAAATCTATTACGGTAGTTGTATTGCCAACAACATATGCAGTAATAATCTCAGTGAAGAATCCTGCACTGACACCTGCCGGATATAAGCCAACGCCCTTTGTGATATTAGCCAGGGGAGGAGTAGTTTTCTGATAGGTGTCAGTCAATTAACTTACAGTGTAGGGAGTTGAGACTGGCCTGAATGAATTGTTCTTTTAGATGATTTGATAAATAGAGTTAACCAAAGTTTCAGCTAAATCAACTGAACGGTTGTTTTAAAGTGTTTTTCCGGTTGACTTGATTCTTTAAATTAAGTTGTGGAATTGGCCGCGGTGGTGGTGCGCCCGACTCACGATCGGAAGACCATGGGTTCGTTTCCTGCCTCGACCAGATATTTTTCTCGAGAGAATTTATCTGATTGAAGCTGGGATGATTCTGCAACCGTGTTAGGAATCACACGTTAAAAGGTAAGACCTCGTTAGTCCTTAGCTCGCACAAGTTTCTCAACTTCTGAGAGTTGTCGTTCGTATGGGGGCGACAGCTGATTAACGGAAAAACAGATTTTAAACAGACAGATTTTTCAAGCAGATTTGATAAATAGAGAGTTAACCAAAGTTTCAGCTAAATCAACGGAACGGTTCTTTTAAAGTGTTTTTCCGGTTGACTTGATTCTTTAAATTAACATAACTATTTTATTTAAGAACCGATTGAAATAAATCAAACACACCAGATACTAGATGTTGAGTGAATCTTACCACAATACAGTACTGAAAACCGCACCCAGCTGTTTTTGAGAATGGCGCCCACAAAAGCAAATGTAGAAGAGAATTATGAAAATCGTTGTTCTGGGTTCTTTTGCGTTCATGAAGTCCCCCCTTCAATAAAGTTTTTCTCAAATATCTTCCATGTATAGACAGCGATCAGTTATATTTTTACATCTTTTTCCAGCCAAGTTTCTACTTTATTTGATATATCTTTTGAAGTACTAAATGTGCGTATATTATTAGATAAATTAAATTCTGAACTCTACCATTAAACGATTTTATCCACTTCCAGTATGTTGGGTTTGAATGTATTCACCTAACGCCGGCCCTGCATCTTCTCACTAAATTGAAGCCTTCATCCTCTATCTGTTCGGTGCTCACCTTGAATATAATTTTAATTTCCCAAGTTCTACGTCGCTAGTTTCCCAAGTTCTACGTCGCTAGTGATGATGGCATTACGCCAAGAAATTACTGTTAAATTGACAAATCCAAACAAAATAATCCAGTAAAATAATATAACTAAAAAATTAGAATATTAGAAATACGATGATCACTCCTAGAAAAGGATGAATTGCATTCTATTTTCAGTGAATGGGTGGGGAATGACCGTGAATTCGGAATGGCGTGATTTGGGGGTGTGGTTTGCTCTCGCCTGAGCATTTTTTTACGAATAAAAACACGTGTATGATAGTGTGTTTGTGTGATGTCTATTTACTTGTCACCTATTTTTGGTTTATGCGCACCATCCAAATGCTACGCAAGCGCTACTCGCAAGATTCAGATAACACATAAAAAAGATTATTGTTGCGTACATGCGACAGTGTTTTGATAAATTCAAGCGGTGAATTCTGGGCAAATTACATTTAGTTCTGTGATTAAATAAAACAGTATTGAACATTAAAACAGTGTGAAAGTGAATTACCGTTAATAGAAATTCGATAGAATTTGATTATTACTTTTATTTGGTTCTGGAAGATAAAATTTCAACAGATGTCAACTTTTGCGAAAAATATATCAAGTTGTCGAAGATGCGTTACGACACCTAGGAGGTTTGTAAAAATTGTAATTTACAAATTATCAACTTACATATTTATTTGGTAATCAGATATACTTCCCTACATCAGACAGTTACGTTGGACGTACAAAGTTCGTCAATATAAACTCTATCCGAAGATTCTACTATTTACGTCTTCCAAATGATAAGGTCACGTATACTAAAAAAAAAGATACGTACCTATTTAACTATTTTTTAGCTTTCAGTTAGTCTTAGTTTGAAAACTTTTTTGATATTTTTGTAGTACTATTCTATTAACTATTAAGTATATTCATCTATTCAAAACAATAAATGCTGTATTTTCTAAGTTACAAACCTATATCTTACTTATCTGCACATATTTTTCAACACTCCTACCCATTGAACCTGAAAAAAAAAAGTAAAACAGAGTGGGTGATCTTTACCAGTATACCGCTGTAAAACTAAAACAGGAACCAAGTCCTCATCTTTTCTGTTTCTTTTTGTACTTTTGAAATTATTCACCAGAAATTTGAAGGAGTGACTCGAAATCCGTAAGTGTTGATCCTTGAAATGAAATGAATATAGAAGTTCTTTGTAAATCGAGTTCCCAAAAGTCTCTAGATTTCAGTCATTCTTTGAGGAGTTAAATACTTATTGGATGTAAAAGATTTTGTGATATTTCGAAAAAAAAAATGGTGGGGAAATAATTTAAATGACCCCTTGTTAGGTTCAACGTTTCTTTGTGATAAAATCTCACTGGAAATATAGGATAGGTAGGAATATAGGGATATCAGCACATGTATAGGTACCTCACTGGAAATATAGGGTAGGTAGGTATATAGGGATATCAGCACATGTATAAGTACTTTTGGTGAGTCACTGAAATAATGAGTTATTAAAGAAATATTTGAGAATCAGCTGCATGTGAATTAAAAGTAGGATTTAAGTGATTATTAGAGTTGTGATAAAAAATATTTGTATCCACTAAAAACACGTTTCCTATACCAGAACAGAAATATCGAAGCCTTGTTTGACTCAGCTGTCCTTGAAAGATAAACCTGAATATAAGTAAGCATGGACACCATCTAGAGATCGGCAGATAACTCAAACCGTGCTCATCCAAAATAAATAGCGATTTCCATGGCGGTTTAAAGCTAAGATTTCATATCGACCGACGTTTTTCTTTGCAGAAAGTTCCTAAGAAATTTTGAATGTTATTCAGGAAATTTGACAAAATCAGAGATACCAGCAAAAATATACCTAAGTTAATATATACCTACAGTATCTTAGAAAGTGAGTAATCGAGTCGTTGGAACTTGGTTTCTGGAAAATGTTTTTTTTCACAGAAACGTATTCATATGAATTTCATCAGTTCGGACTTCCATTGTCTAATATAATATAAATTTATTTGAAAACCCTGAAAAAAAATTAAAAATTGAAAAGATTAACCGAAAATAACAATTTTATTAAACAAAAACTGAAATTACAAAGAAATAACATACAAGCAACAACGCATTTAGTCAAGCTAGCGTAGAGATACGT